AGCAGTAAAAAAAAAAGTTGTAAATAACTTTCTATGTTTACGTCACGTGATGACCGTATCGATTGAAACGTTGGGCGTCACGTAGGTGTTTATAGACATACCAGGTTTCATGGCGGTATAAACTGTTGTGTTCTGTTGATTTAAACAATACTTTACGGGCAGATCTAGGTTTAAATGTTTTGTCGTTTGTGGGGGTTTGAGTTGATTAACATTTGGGTTAATGTTAGGGCAGACCTTTATGGTTGAGAATTCAAAGTTTTTTTTCGTTATATGTTATGTATAAAGAATTCTATTAGGCAAATAGCAACGAAACAATCATATTTTACATACTATTTTCTATATAATTGTAAGCAATACATGAATACACAATCTTTATAACTGTAATAAACAGCTAGATGCTACTTATAGCTGTAGGAATTCATTACAATCCTAATAACTTTAAGCTATGACTACACACTTCTTATAGATGTAAGAAATCACTACACACCTCTTATAACTGTTGGCGATAACTACAATCCTATTATAGCTTTAATCAACTACTACAAAGTTTGTAGATTTGTGAGCTATAATGCCACACCACATATGCATTATAGTTCTAAGCAAAAACAACGTAGCCCTTATATATTTAAGCAATTACTACACATTATTTTAGCTTTTCGCAATTACTCCACATTAATTATAGCTTTAAGCAATTGAAGAGCCCAGTGCTAAAAGTACTTAAGTCACATTTTTGTGAAAATCAAACCAAGCATTGATCGTGTTTCCTCTAGTTTAACTTTATCTTATAAACAAATAGTGATACTGAAGAATTTATTTAATTTGCTCTTCCAAACAAACAAATAATATAAAAACGTAATGTTTCATAGTAAATTTTAATCTTTGAACTCATTTTTCTCAAAATGTTGTTTTTGTGACTTAAGTACTTTTAGCACTAAGGTCTTCAATTACCAATTACCACACATATAGCTAAAAGCATTAACTAAACCACCCTATTCCATATAAGCTATAACTACACACTTCTTATAGCTGTAAGCAATAAATACACACCCCTTGTATCTGTAAGCAATAACTACACACCCCTTGTATCTGTAAGCAATAACTACACACCCCTTGTATCTGTAAGCAATAACTACACACCCCTTGTATCTGTAAGCAATAACTACACACCCCTTGTATCTGTAAGCAATAACTACACACCCATTGTATCTGTAAGCAATAACTACACACCCCTTGTATTTGTAAGCAATACCTACACACCCCTTATATTTTATTACATTCTTACGCACCATAAACCCCGCTATTAGAAGCGGATATCGCTCTCTCTGGAAAAAAAAAATCAATCAATATAATCGATTTTAGACTTTTAACGATTGATTACGACTCTATTAAACTGCTGCTAATATGCATTAAATCAATCAATTAGACCTTGTGTGATCTACGTAAGACAGTAAGGGACAGCAACGATCTCGGTTTTTGATTGGTGGTTAAAAACAGCGATAATCTGATACACTTTCTATTTCATTCCCCCCCCCCCAACCCACGCGACCCCCACCCACCGGTCTTCTGTTTTGTTTTCTATTGTTGCCTTGGCTTAAAAGTATAATGCCCTGTATAATGTTATAGTTATGTGTTCTCAGAAAGTAAGATCTTACTTTTACCCATGTAGCCATAATGGACAGGGTGTCAAGGTCGTTCATAAACGTCACGCTTTTTTTAGACGCGCCACCCCCCTTGTCACACTTCGTCCCTTAAGTCCACTTTTTACACTCCTAGGAGTGCGGAGACGATCCCTCAGATGAGGGAGGGTGGGGGTGGGGGGGGGGGAAGGTTCCAAAAAAGGCAAGCATTTTGTGTCATAGCCGCAGTTGAATTAGAAATTAAGAATATTTTTTTTTTAAATTCAGCTAATTATTATTTGAACTCACAGTGTGTCGTTAAAGAAAGAGTTTCTAAAAAAAAAAAACTATTTTAAAACTTAATATTTAAAAAAAATAAAAATTGAATAAAAAAAAGTTAAAAAAAAAGTATGAAACAATGCTCTGTACCTCTCCCTATCAGAAGTACCAGAAAATAAGACCACCTTCATCCGATTTAAAACCACTGAAAAATTAAAGCACGAATTAAGCGGTATAAAACTACATAAAGATAATTGAAACCCACTACATATATAACGGTAAGTATAAATAATACCACCTGCTCCACCCTCCCCTATTTAAAACAAAAATAAAACATAAAAACCATGCCCTAGTTGATATAGGCCTACCACAACATAATAATAACCATCCCCTACCCGATATACAACAATATAATGATACCATCTTCCGTTATACCACCATATGATACCATCCCTTACTCAATACACCCCAACATTGAAAATAATATCACTTTATAGTTTATACCCGATATACCACAAAAAGTAAAATAATACAATACCCTACCCGATAAAAAAAACATCAAAATACCTCGCCCCCCCTTCACACATACACACACACATACCTACCCTACTTCGAGTACAATTTTAAAAATCGTCACCCACTTTAAGTTGCAACGGAATACATTTCATTCTTAACGGTCGTCCCCATTCCTTCTCAACAATACAGAGGTAAGATTATACTTGTATTTGTTGGCCTCCAAGCCATTGAACGCTACTCTCTAGCCCCGCAAGTTCTCTATCATGTTAACACTGGTTTCAAGGAGGGGGACGAGATTAAGTAAAGAACTGCAAATAGTTGGAGGCTTTTGATATTAGTTTTCGCAGTAAAGCTATTAGTTTCTATGGTATACCGTTAGTGTAGTATTTCATTTTTGTAAATATCTATGACATACCGATGATGTTACATTTTCAGTTTTTGTAGATTATTTAACACCGTTTGAGTAATGTTAAAATTTGTAAACAATACTCCCCCCCCCCCCCTTATGTTCATTGTAAAATGTAAACTGAAATGTGTATTTTTAAATTCAGTCGAAAGCTGAGGGTGTTCATGGGTTATAAATAAGTGTCAACACATTGGTGGGATATTTAAAACCTGACACTGACATGAATTTACTACACAATGCTGTAGAGGTTTGTGCTGGTATATAGGCTCTGGGTGTATGTGTATGTATACACTTGACACGATACAGTAGTAGATTATAAAAGGGATCCTAGACATCGCAAATCCCTATCACAAAAACACTGATTGTTATTACCCTCAAATGAATGATCTTATAACTACTTTAAAGGAATTTTAAAAAGACACATGGAGCAGATGAAGTAGAGTTTATATGTTCCAATTATCTCGGCATATGAAGTAGGTCAGCACTATGCACAGCCACGTTGATTTCCCTAACCTAAGTCGGGTAACATCGTGAGTGGATTAAGGAACATCTTTCAGTCATGAACCCGGGGTTCGAACTCAAGACTTTCGGGTTAGCATTCGTAAACTCTACCTTCCGACCACGCCGTCCCATAAAATAAAGCAGCACAATTTAAATTCCTGTGTAAATTTTTATCTTTGTATATCTTGTCAAGTGTTAGGTGAATACAGTAGGGGGTGTACATTTGACGAAACGGCTCTATTTAATAGCCTATTGGTTAAGGTATTTAGCCATTTAAAATAGGGTTAGCCTACAAAGAGAGAAGTTTGAGGCTCGGAATAAAAGTCCAGCTTACAACCGCTGTGGAACGGTGTGGCCTAGCTGTAGAGCGCTGGACTGCTAATCCGAGCATGGAGTTTAAATACGGGTTTAAAACAGTGGAATGTCCTTGAGTCCACTCAGCCCTCATTGGTACCTAACTCACGCTAGGAAAAGTAAAGGCGTCTGGGTATAGTGCTGACCACATTATCCGTTCATATGCCGAAGTCATGAAACATGTGAGTTCTGCTTTTTTAGCTCTCGGCATATGAAGGGATAGTACGGTCAGCACTAAGCCCAGCCGCTTTTCGTAGATCACTAGGTCTAAACGGAAATCTTTACTTTACAGCCGCTTGTGTAAGTAGGTGAATAGGGCCTACCCACCTGATTATCAATACACATTTCACACAATTTAACAATTAATACAACGGTCATAAACACATATGTTTACACTATACAACGAACTTACCCTAGCGACACAACACAAAGGTCACATTATAACACACAAAAACCATAACACATTCGACACGGAGATTGTATACCCTACATAGTACTGACAACGACAACTATATTTACATTGTGAACACAACTCACAACACTGAGTTATAAAAAGAATACACACGTATTTACTATTTAGTGGATAGTTTTTGACGACTAAATTAATAAATTATTCAATGATAAATGTTTGGTCAAGATTTTTAAACTTCGGTTAGATAAAGTAAAACATGACAAGTTGATGCAATCCTTTGATTGCATCTTAATATAGTTTGTAGGTAGTAATTTAAAATGGCTGACGAACTACATTGACTCCTCATCAACAAGGCCTGTTATCAAGACGTCATTGACTTCATCAACAGGGTCTGTTATCAAGACGTCATTGACACTTCATCAACAGGGTCTTTACTCAAGACGTCATTGACTTCATCAACAGGGTCTTTACTCAAGACGTCATTGACTTCATCAACAGGGTCTGTTATCAAGACGTCATTGACTCCTCATCAACAGGGTCTGTTATCAAGACGTCATTGACACTTCATCAACAGGGTCTTTACTCAAGACGTCATTGACACTTCATCAACAGGGTCTGTTCTCAAGACGTCATTGACTCCTCATCAACAGGGTCTGTTATCAAGACGTCATTGACACTTCATCAACAGGGTCTTTACTCAAGACGTCATTGACACTTCATCAACAGGGTCTTTACTCAAGACGTCATTGACACTTCATCAACAGGGTCTGTTATCAAGACGTCATTGACTCCTCATCAACAGGGTCTGTTATCAAGACGTCATTGACACTTCATCAACAGGGTCTTTACTCAAGACGTCATTGACACTTCATCAACAGGGTCTTTACTCAAGACGTCATTAACACTTCATCAACAGGGTCTGTTCTCAAGTTTTGATAAGATGATGTGAAATGGATGAGGCTGATGCTGACGGCGAATGGAGCGATGATGACATTCTACAGTCTGGGTCACAGACCGGTGAGGGTTACACTTGAAATATTTTAGGATTTTTTTATGTTTTGTTTTGTCTTGTTTTGATGGTTTTTCATTTTTTGTTGAGTTTTGTCATCACGTGATGTGATGCTTGATCAGATTCCGTTGAATTATGTCATGTTTTATCATATGTTTATTATATTTTGTTACAGTTTGTCATGTTTTGGTGTAATTTATGTTATGTGGCATGTCACGTGTGCTAATTGTTGTTAATATTTTGTCATTTTTGTTCAAATTTAAAAAACATTTTACGTTACTTGGGATTTTATCCGGTTATGTCACAGTGTTATACTTCATAATTTTATATTCATGTTTTATAATATACTCGACAACCCAGTTTTCCATTGGTAAACGGTCTGTCGCCTGCACTAGTTCACACACACCGCTCCCTCCCCACATTAACTCCAGTCAGTGTTTCTTCCAGACTTTTTTCTCCGGGGGGCACTTGATATTTTCGGGGATGGGGTGGGGGAGTGTGTGTGTGGGGGGGGGGGGTCAACTTTTTACGGGGGGGGGGGGCGGACACTGGTTAAAGTATATGTTTATGGGGGGTGGGGTAGACTTTCTTCAGGGCGGCTTGGTCCCCCCGAAGAGATGCCTGGAAGAAACTCTGACTCCAGCCTTACTCTAATCCTCCATCACAAACACGAACTCCCTATCACACAAAGTCAAAAAAAACAAACGTACACAGCTTAAACTGGCTACAGGACATTACCCCCCCCCCCCCCCTAATCTAACCTTAACCTTAACCCTAGCCATAAACCTAGCCCAAACCCTAACTCTAACCCTGTCCGGGGGGGAGGGTTAATGTCCTACTGGGCGGGGGGTAATTGACTTAGGGGTAAATGGCAGGGGGGTAATTACTCCGGGGGGGGGGGGTAATGTCGGGGGGGGGGGGTAATTGACATGGGGGAAACGCCCTGTTCCCGCTTAAACTAATCTTAATTTAAACTCCACCAATTCCCATTTTATAGTTATTCCCGAGTTTTGCTTATAAAACAACTACGTCGAACCTGATTTAACACCCTTAGATTCTATCAGATATATCTTTAGTATTGTACACAGTAAAGTTGAGCCAATCCTAGTTTACAACTCTTCAATGCTTCAACATTTTACACAGGAATCTCCGAAACAGAGCCCGAGGATTACAGAGGTCGCAGAGGTCAGCTAAAGAGGCAGCACCAACCTTACAACAACCAGAAGAAGAGCCCCAGCACACCTGTAGACAGGAGCTTACCTATCCGGCAGGTGAACAACACAGGTGCCACTTCCGGTGCCAGAATGACCGGCGGCGCTGACCCTGTGGATGAGATCCTGGATAAAATTGATGCCGAGTTGGATGCGATGGATCAGACGAGTACTAAGGTGAGGTCATTCTTAAACCTATTTGCACTTTGACGTTACTTAACTTTTATTAAACTCAAGAATAAGCTTATGTACTAGTCTATGTAAATTAGAATAAATATATAACGTTATCTAATTTAAAATTTGCTTATATTCATTAAGGTTTTGGGTTTTTTTAGAAAAGGGTTGGAACTTTAATACACAGGCGAGGGTAATTAGGTGATGTCAACATGGGTTGGCGTGCTGTAATAGCAATTGACGTAGAATAAGTTGAACAGATCTGCAAAGCGAAAATCTAGTTTCAAATATGGTCTTAAGTATAGGTATATAAAGTGGTTTCAGATTCAGGTACAAATATGCCTTTTAAAAAGTGTTTGTATTTATTGCTGCATAGTTGTCGTTGTATTACTAGTCAACACAGATACATGTATCAGATTAGTCCCCCCCCCTCCTCCACCATTTTAGGACACGCCCTATCTGTTGTTGATTCAGAAGTAAATAATTATATGACCAGTAGATACGCCTAGAGTTTATGTACTAACGTATCACCCCTTCCCCCACATTTAGGTTTGTTTGATTATGGGATTTTTTAGCAAATTTCGAATTGAATTTTAAATACCATGGTTTTTAAATTGTATTTTAGTAATCAGCATCATTTCAAGTTAAAGCTCATGACAAAATGAGCCATTCATATTCATTGATGTTCAACTGAGGAGAACTGCTTTCAGTTTCGGTTTCTGTAGAGTAGTTTGTTCAAAATAGTATTAAAATTTGCTTGATTTATGCTCAACCTCCACCCTTAAAGACCAAGGTGCTAGCTTTTGTCTGACCCCCTACCCGTATAGGTCTTCCCAGCTTGGTTGAACCTGCCAGGAGTTTACACTCCCGCTGGTATAGCTCTGGGTGGGTGGGTGGGGGGGGGGGGGGGTCAGGTCATACCAGGAATTTACACTCTCGCTGGTATAGCTCTTAGGGGTCGTCGAGATAATACAATGGCATTGTAGAACGTAAATCAAAAGCTATTTCAAGCTATACCAAAAAATGTAGTGTGAAAATTTAAAAAAAAATAAACTTCATAACCAGGCATGGAAGTATAAAGGGTACCTCGAAGTAAAATCACATCTTATTCTTCTACAGGTGTCATGGAAACCAGACCTAACAGCTCGTGCAGGTACCCCACAACCCAGAACTTCCCCAGGTAAATCGTCTTTACCTGTCCCAAACAAATAGTGGGAATTTTCTTTAACAAGTCTGGTCGTATTAAAAATAGTCAAGCCATGAGGGATAGTCTTCAACTAAATAAAAAAGACACCAAATCCTCACATACCCAATACTTTTCACAAAAAGGATTAAACCTAATCCATTTCAGGATTAAGCCTAATCCATTTCTACACGGCAGATAATTTATTTATATTCAATTTATGCAGACAAAATTGTTCCCCTGTCCCTACGATTATGTAAATTTTTCAATAGCTTGTTAATCGCCTGGAAAGTTAATCCACACTATTATAGAAATAGATCCTCAAGATCCTGTTTTTATTTCCTCATAAAGACTCGATGTGTCTTCAGCTACTACAACTTTTCTCGAGTTTTGTATGGGTGAAAGCCGTTCCGGCTAGGCCACGTGTTAGCTCTGCAAGTCAGGCGAAATCCCTAACATAATATAAATCTTTCACAAACCCAGTGCCCTCCCTTCTCGCAAATATTTTGATCATGATTTTTATGTAACGACAATCTGCTGGTACTTGTAGGTACGCAGCTCACCGTATAAACTAAATATTTAGTTTTTTTGTTTTTTAAATTTGATTTTAGGTTTATTTTCTAAACAATACACGCCGAATCCCGACAGTGACGTCACCAAGGCTAAAAACACTTTTGGCCCAGAAACCATGTTCAACACTTCATCTCGCACCAATGGTATGTAACTTTTTACTATACTATTTATACAATTCGCTACTAAACAGCAATTTAGTTAAAACTTTTACGTAAATGTTCTTTAGTATTTAAGTCTTAATCTTTTAATTACCACAGCTTACTATTTATGTTTTCTGTTTTATAAGTTCTATTAGAATAAAAAAAATGACATGTAAGCATAAACGTGTTATTAGATTAGTGCACATGTTAGATTACTAAAAAATGTTACATAAGAGCACCGCTAGTCAAGTTAAGACTGGCTTATGGACCACCACTTCCAAATAATATTGAAAACTCCAGAGATCACTCAATCCCCCACTACATGATATGTATCTTATGTTAAGTTACCCTGCTCTTGACCACAACGCCACGACATAACAAAATACAATTAAGCGATATAGCACTACCTATATATTTGTGTACTTAGCACGTTAACTATCCATTACTAGAAAACCATTTTGATATTCACAAGAAGAGCAAGCTATGTTTTAGTTTTAATTTTCCGAATATTGCACATTTTACAATCTAGATACTTTGTTCGCATTATGGAACTCATTCATATTATTTCAAGGTTTCCCTGAAGTTCACAGCGTTCCCGATATCCCAGCTGAATTAGATGCTGTGACAGCACATCAAACAGATCTCCAGTTCAAGGAAATCATGCGGAAGAAAAAAGGTACAATAATCAACTAACTCTCTCACATGGCTATGATAAATTATCTTTTAAACACTGCAGTTCTACACATAGGCCCACTAGTGGTAAACATTCTATATAATAAAATCTACTTGCAATCAAACATCCACTATATTTGAGTAATATTTTATAATACCTGAATGTAATCAACGCTTTCTGCCTTGACTTCCCTGGCCTATCAAAAGCATATCAGCTATTGGGCACATTGGTTTTCATACACTCTATTTACTTACTAACTTTTTCTTTAAGTCTCTTTTCTACGTCTCCACGATCTCCTTTTTTAAAGTGATTCCACAGCCTAGATAATCCATGCATCTTTTTCTCAAATTGTGTTCGTAAATATACATCATTCATGACACTAGCTTGTATGGTATATCATGAACTATAGACGCTACATTACATACTAGATACTATTTCAAAGGGGAGCAGGGCATTACCCCTTTGTAAATAGTATATGATTATTTTCCCTGACTTTATCCAAAAGGTAAATTACCCCCCTGTCAATTACACTGGCTAGGATTTTGGTAAAGTTACGGTTAGGATTAGGACTAGAGTTATATTTATAGTTAGGTTTAGTGTTAATACTGTTTACGGAAGGAATAGGCGTTTCCAACATTTTGCCTTGCTTGTAATTTGTTAGAATGCCTCAGAATAAAAAAAAAAAGAAATACGTCATGTTTCGTAATATAGTGTCTTATTTGAAGCACCCAATCCATGGCGTTTTACAGAATGCCGACATATTTTAGTGAGGAGGTAATACGGAGGCTGATTGACAGAGGGTATATAATATGATGAGGGATAATGGTACAGGGTGTTATGAGAGGGGGGTGATGCCTCATATATTTGTACATGTAACCGTTAAGTAAACCCTTACGTCGAATCTAAACAAATGACCCACCACTTACCAGAAGACAAAGGCTTGACTTTCCAAGACAGACAGGCCCTCGCCAGGCCTCGGCCGCCCAGGGCCGTCTCCCCAAGGAAAGTCCGCATACAGGAGTCACGTGACACGTCCAGGACGCCACCCAGTGAGGGTACATTTAGTTAGATGTGACGCCCCCTAGTGAGGGTACATTTAGTTAGATGTAGCGCGGCTTCTGTGTGTTAGCTAGATCACTTGCTTCTTGTAGACTAGGTCTGACCAGCACTCGTATAGGAAAGGTCTGAACTACATGCATGAAGGTCTCACCTACATGCATGTTAGTCTGACTTACTCAAGACGATGAGATTGCTCTGTTTAGTTCTTGTAGATTCGCTTGTAGGTTACAATGACGACAATTCTGTTTTTTTTTCTGTCGCTTACAATATTTATCTTTAGGCTGTAGATCAGAGTTTAGATCAGGTTATGGGTAGTTGTAGGGTTTAGGCCAGTGGCGTAGCCAGGATCGTCTCAAGGGGGGGGGTTCCAATTTTTACCCGGGGACAAACTTTCGATTTGCACCCCCCCCCCCCTCAAACTTTCGATTTGCACCCCCCCCCCTCAAACTTTCGATTTGCACCCCCCCTCAAACTTTCGATTTGCACCCCCCCCCCCTCAAACTTTCCATTTGCACCCCCCCCCCCCCTCATACTTTTTATATATACCGACGGGTCTATGGGGGGGGGGGGGTTATGACCCCCCCTAACCCCCCCCCCCCCTGCCTACACCACTGGTTTAGGCTAATCGCCCTATGATAAGGATTATAGAAAATATAGATGTTAGTCCTAACCAATACACCTTTAGATTTGCTCAAATGTTTTTCTAACGGCTTTTCGTAATATTATGTGTCTGTATCTGTTTAAAAAATTGTAAACTTAATAAACGAATAAAATACTTGGCGAAATTAACATTTCTTAATCAGCACAACATTTAGTTCAATAAAAGAATGTTACTAAATGTGTTCTGCTTAAACGTGGACTCTTATTTAAACCTGGGTAGTTTTTTTTTTTTTTTTTTTTTTTTTTTTTTTAATTATAGTTTACATTTTCTAGCTTTATTTCGCTTCTTAGTTATGTAGATTTAAGCTTTCGTCTTTTATTTAAGTTATTTCTGTTAAGTTCACGAAAATTGTAAGAAATTCTAGAGAAAAAAAAGTAAATATTAAAATGTTTCAATTTTATTTTCCGCTCTCTACAAATCCCATCTAAATGAAAGTAAATGCACTCTATACCTGATTAAAGAACAATTAAACTTTATTGAGCTATTATAAATTAATTGTAAAGTATAATTTAGGTTATTTTCTATTTAATGAAATACCTTTTTTGTAGCTTTGTTTTTTTTTACATCGCAGTCTTCACAGTAAGAGCAGGACTATGTATTCTCTTACCCAGGAAAACACCTGGTACCCAACCCGTCTTGTGTACTCAACTACTCTCTGTGTTTCAGTCAATGCCGAACTCTCGCAGAACTCCGGGAAATCTCTCGGCTCGCTGTCTACAAGACTCAAGTCTCGGAGCACCAGCAGACCGTCTGCCATGATGCTGAGCACGGGATACGGTACGGACAACGAGTCGATACAGACGGAGGAGTTCGAATCCCGGTTTATGGGCATGGTTATCTCCCCGTCAGACACGGAGAAGGGGGAGACGATGGTGAAACCTCTAGGTCAGTTTACAAGTGGTGATACACCGATTTATTTTATAGGATGCGTGGTGACACGCTTAAAATTGGCATGATGGTGAAACCTCTAGGTCAGTTTACAAGTGGTGATACACCGATTTATTTTATAGGAAGAGTGGTGATACGCTTAAGTTTGGCATAGTGGTGAAACCTCTAGGTCAGTTTACAAGTGGTGATACACAGGGTGATATTTATTTTATAGGATGAGTGGTGACACGCATAAGTTTGTCCTGATGGTGAGACAATTAGGTCAGTACACACGTGTTGATACACGGGGTGAGCTTTACTTTATAGGATGAGTGGTGAAATGATGGTGAAACCACTTAGTCTTTGCACCCGCGATGTTGTCAAGAAGGGTATAGAAAACATAAGAAGGAAACAATTACATTAATAGAATATCGCAATAGATAAGTTTTACTAAACATCGACCACACGTTAATGACCGGTAAATACCGGAGTATATGATAAACCAAACATTACAAATTAAAATGACCGAAAATCATGTCACGGTTCCTAATAACATCGCAATAGATAAACACCAGCCACCAGTGGCGTAGGCAGGGGGGGGGGGGGGGGTTAGGGGGGTCATAACCCCCCCCCCCCCCATAGACCCCTCGGTATATATATAAAAAGTATGAAGGGGGGTGCAAATCGAAAGTTTGAGGGGAGGGGGGGGGGGGGGTACAAATCGAAAGTTTGAGGGGGGGGGGGGGTGCAAATCGAAAGTTTGAGGGGGTGGGGGGTGCAAATCGAAAGTTTGTCCCCGGGTAAAAATTGGAACCCCCCCCCCCCCCTTGAGACGATCCTGGCTACGCCACTGCCAGCCACACAATAATAATCGACATACACGGAGTATACCATAAACCAAACAAATTAAAATGTCCAAAACTCAAATCACATTTCCTACGGGCTACATTGTGTGTTTTACTTTCTTATATTGGATCTGTGACATTTTAGAGAAGGACGGGGTTAAAAAAGAAGGGTCAAGTTTAAAAAAAAAACTAGCTTAGGGTTGGGTTGTATAAAAAAGCTCACGTAGAAATCCTAAGCCTCTCTGGGAGGACAAACTACTGCTACTACTACAACTACATTTCATAAACCTTCTTCTTCTTCGTTCTTAATTTTTAGTGTTAGAAGGGATCGAGCCTTATCTGCCACAGGGTTTCTTCTTCTTCTTTTTCATTTTTAATTATTAGTGTTGAAGGGGATCGAGATTTATCTGCCAGTGGGTTTGAACTCGAGACTTTGTTCGAATTTATCAACCATGAACTTTTTGCCGACTCGACCACGCCTCCAACACAATTAAGCGTTACGTGTCAACTGGTTATGCGCCATTGAGGCCAGTGACTCCGATTTCAGCCTGCTTTTCTTTTTGGATTTGCTTCCATAGCCTTTGTCTTTGGAGTTGTCTCTCCTAGAAGAGTGGCTGTCCCCAGCTAACGAGCCTCATCTGCCCGAGGGTTCGAACTCGAGACTTTTCGGTTTAGCAACCATGAGCTTTACCGACTCGACCACGCCGATCCCTCCACAGGGTTTGAACTCGAGACTTTTTCGAATTTATCAACCATGAGCTTTTGCCGACTCGATCACGACCCCATCACAATTAAAGATACGTGTCAACTGGTTATGCGCCATTTGATAAACAAAATATAATTTTATTATGTGAATGCTTCCCCCCCCCCCCCTGGTGTTTAGATTCCAGACCCCAAGCCACACCCCCGAAGGACGATACCCTCCATACAGATGACCCCCGACCCCCAGGGATTGTCGGTGCAAGGTAGCATTTTTCTTAGCCAATGCTTCAAAGTAGAACTCAAACGTCTTAATTCAATGCGTATTCTAAACTGTTTAAGTTTTATTTTTAAAATAATAATATGATAAATTATTAGTATATGCTAGTATTATTTTTTTTTTTAATTTAGGGGTCGTTCATAAATGAAGTCACACTCGTAAGGGGTGGGGGGGGGGGGAGGAGGAGTCCTTTATTTAGTGACGGTGTGTGATTAGGTGGAGGAGTAGGGTGGGTTCAGATAGTGTGAGGTCACACTTTTATATTATAAAAAAAGCAATGTTAGAAAACGAATTTTAGCCGTTATTTCGCGTTTTAGAAAACAGTTTTAATAAATTGTAATAGGAATTGATTAAAATTTTCTTTTTTTGACAGAGGTCAGACAAGATTTTGGAAAAATATCGATGTTTTAAGAAAAATTCAACTGTAATTTTGAGGGTTATAGGCTGAGGTGTGACGTCATTTTTTTTGGGGGGGGGGGGGCTCTTGCTTTTTGTGACGACGTGTGACGGAGGGGAGAGAGAGGGGAGGTAAAACTCGTGAAAAAAGCGTGACATAATTTATGGATGCCCCCTTATAATTTTAATGTAATAAAACAATGTTGGTCATTTTGTGTACAAGGGGACATAACTGTAGTATTTGTTTTTTTTTTTTAAAGTGAAGCAGTTACGCTACGCGTCTAAATTTACTTATATCTGTTGTTTATGATAAGAGCAGTACTATACAAGGGTTCAGAAAAAAAGTAAATCAAGTACTCGGAATACATAACGAAAATGGAATTTATATAGAAAATATGTACTTTTAACAGTGTCCGCTCACCACCCGGAAATTTGAGTCCGCCCCCCCCCCCGGAAATTTCAAGTGCCCCCCCCCCCCCCCCCCATGAGCTAAGTAGGGGATCTTATTCTCTAGATTTTCGTCTTGCTTTTCGTCTCAGTATACAGCTTAACTAGAAACAAGCAAATAGTTTTAGGACCGTTTTTACCTGGGTAACGTGGTGAAATGGTGACAGCTCGCGTGCAACTGTTCATAGTAACGTCAATGTTTTTTTACAATAGTAACGGCATCAATATTCGGTACAGAAATGTAAATAATTTTTAAAGCAATTTAAAAAAAAAAAAAAAAAAAAAAAAAAAGTGTTCTACGATAGAATACCCGTACAAGGGAGATAACCCATTTATTGTTATTACTTAATATAATTATCGCATTCACTGAATATTTATTCATACACCAAAGGTCATTTTTGACAATAAAACAAAATAAAAAAACAAACAAAAAACACCGACATAAGCCATTAGTTGAGTTATTTTGTAAGACATATTTTCAGATACAGTAACATAAAACACAAAACACATATTCTAGTATGCATTGTGCATTTTTAAATTTAATTATATAATATCATTATGTGATTGGCTCAAGACGACAAAGGTTTTAACATTATGTATGTAAAACATAATTATAACTATTTTAAATGTTTAAAGTTTAAAACAGCGGTCGGCAACCCTGCGGCTCGCGAGCCGCATGCGGCTCCTTTGATAACCCAGTTTGTGGCTCTTCAGCTACATAATTTAAGAACGAGCCGACCCGCGGCGTATAATACGCCGCTATTTAGTTGTTTTATTTTCTACTTTTCAGTAATTCATAATTTGTGAATTCGACAGGACCAACGCTGTCACTGAAAATATTTCTTTAAAACACTATAAGTAGCTCGTTAAGGACGATAACCCCCCTCCTCCCCCTCCGTTACAGTAAACTCCACTTAGTTACCCCCCCCCCCCCTTCGTTTAAATCGTTTCAAACTAAATTATCTGCCCCTAATAGCCGTCACTAAACCCGGCTCTGCTTGTAAACATTTAGAGTGAACACAGCTCACCAGACATTGTAGGGGTGGGGTGGTAGGGAGCGCGTTTACAGCTTGTTTTCTAGCGACTCCCAGAGAGAAGTATATATATAGATTATTTTATTTTATTTCCAAAACTCGTACAAATATTAGTCTGCAACACTCGGTAATAAACGGTATAACAATAGATATAAACAGTTTCTTCCAGGCATCTCTTCGGGGGGGCGAAGCCCCCCCCCCCCCCCCCCCCCGAAAATTTTTTACCGCCCCCCCCGAACGAAATGAAATTTATATAATTTATATAGAAAATATATACTTTTAACAGTGTCCACCCCCCCCCGAAGAAAGTTTACCGCCCCCCCCCCCCCCCCCGAAGATTTCAAGTGCCCCCCCCCCCCCCCCCGGAGAAAAAAGTCTGGAAGAAACACTGGATATAAACTAAAAGCATTCACTATTATATTAGAATATTTAGTTACTCCCTATCTCAGTGTACTTCCCATTACATTGTCCATTCCGAATTGAAATATTCAACTTCACAAAGAAACTAAACCAGCTAAGTGTAAAACTGAAAGGAAAATCTAGCCTATGTCTTGCTTGAAAAGATGGTTTGTTTCGAGAAAAAAAATATTTTTTTTGTTGAATACATGATGAGCGGTACATTACTGTTACGAAAAATCTTAAAAAATATCGTTATGAAAACAATGCTTCTATTCAATCACTTCAGCATTAATATAAACACAATGAAGGATGTTTTCACTCAGAGATTTGAGCTGTTCAAATTAAATGCACGTACTCTGACTTACATTGTAGA